CCCTATATATCAAGGAATTAAGCATTACCAGAAACAAGAAAGCTCAAAGAGTTAAAAAAACGAAATGTTGACAATGGAGTGAAATTCAATTTAACAGAACGAAATTGAGAACTATACACAAAACGAAAACAGAGCAAATCAGACATTCTTTGTAGCAATAAATACCAGAGCAACGATTTGGGCACTGGTCAATCACAAGAAGGAAAAAAAAACAGAAGTTACTGTGAGATGCAAAGCAATACCAAGTACGAAGAGACTATATCTGAAGAAACAGAAGATAGAAAGCAGACCGAAAAACAAAGTGTAGACTCTACAAGTGTGGCACCAGATGATATCCCAATCTAATCCAGCTACTGGTTATTATTATCTAAGAGGCTTCAAAATAAAGTTTCGATATCCCACAGAAGATAAATCCAAACATGATGAAATCAAACAAAACGAAATGACCTTGGAACAGCTTCCACTTGTTATTTTTCCTCCTCTTGTAACAACTACAGAGATATGAATACAAGTTTCATTTGAGTGTCATAACTTGCAAGTAAAGTCCATAATAGTACTATTATGCATTTGTTTCAAAGACAATCAAAACATGTCCTCTTCTCTTTTTATTGGAACACATTATTATAATACCAGAGAAGCATCTTCAACAACAGACAGATATCAAAATGTTCCATAACGGATCCATCTTGAAATCAAAAATCCAAAATGATAGTATTCAAACTACTAAAAAAATCAGATTCACAAGCTAAAATAAGCAATACGAGACCCCAAATGTCAACTAAAACACAAAACGAAAGTACCAAACTAAATCAGATTTGCACTAATAAAAAAAAATTCATAATCTCCAACAAGCCGATAGATAAAGAGTGGAGAAGGTTGAAGAGAAGCTTACCGAGATAGGCTTTGCTAGGTCGGATTATCGATTCGGGCACTGGTCAATCACAAGAAACAAATGCATAGAAAAGGGGCCAATCAGAAACTGAGACACCAAATCACAAATCTACTGAAAATTTTGCAAAAGTGAGAAAGATAAATCACAGGTTCGATATCGGACAAAGCATCAATTGAAATCAAAGCAAAAGCCCAGACACCATAATCGTGAGCAAGCGTTACCTTGAAGAAGAGTTCTTGGAGACTGGTGAGAGAGAAGAGAGATCGCAGAAATTCAGATTCAGAGATCAAATCGCCCTGCGAAAACGAAATAATGATGATTCTTTTGCATCGTTCCAGTGAAAACCGAACCGGTTATATAGTGACCAGGATGTTTAATTCCGGTCTGGTTTACTGTCCAACAAGTCGAAATTCGGCCCAAAGATTTATATTTTGTATCGTTAAAACTTTAAACCGAATTCGAACACAACCAAATGGGTGTCATAATATTTAAGCATCTAGTTTTTAAAAAAGCCGAAATAAACAATTTCATT